TCACTTGCTGCCTAATATATTCCACCCACTGACAGACGCCATGATAACCAGATAATCAGTGTTATTCACTTCACCTGTCAGTGGTCATAATGTTTTGGCTGATCAGTGTAGATAAAGATGGACGTGACAGCTCCCTAAAAGTGAAGCCAAGATAGCAGATGGGACATGGGCCAAACAAAGAAATCAAAGTAGACATCAAATACATTTTTCCCAAAGATGGTTTCTGTCATTTTAGGTAGTTCTTATCACATTATTCAACGAGACTGAATATGTGAGGAGACAACTCACTTCTTTCCTGAGCCACATCTCAATATCGTACTTCTGGTAAAACTCCATCCTCCTCAGCAGAATAGTGTCACTCTCCACATTCATTACCTGCAAGATGGGTTCAGGATGTGTGTGTTTATAAAACAATACTCAGATATTCATCGCTAAAATGTGGGTGTTGTTGGTACAGTGTCATGTCATTTACTCTGCAGCACCTTGCTGAGTCTGGTTTTGTCGTAAGGTAAAAGTTCGTCTCTGGTAGCCATGATGATTCTGCCGCCGAAGTATTCCTGCCGCAGGACCTCAGCGCAGATTATAGATGCAGCCCCTGCGCTTACGGAGAGTTAACACACCATCACACACAAACTCCAGACATACACACTATGACATTTATTATATTACTTATTAATCTTTGTTCATGTGTTCATCCAGTATGTTCACTGTCCATGTTCACTTTCACATTATATCCTTATCATAACAGTTGATACAGACTCATACTGTTGATCTGTGTAGTACACTCAGCTGTGTAATACTTATATGTACATAACTATGTGTATATATAGATTACCTGTAGTGACAGTTCCACTCACTGTATCAATACAATACTATAATAATATACAATATCTATTAGACTTGCACTGAATATTGTACAGAATATTACCAGGCACCATTCATGTATATATTGAGAGTTAGAGCATGGTTTCTAGTTTTTGTCCAGTTTGTAGTTAAAATTTTAGTTATTTATGCTTTATATAAATAAATAACTATAACCTAACCATAACACTTTAAAAGTTGTGTAAGATTAAGAGGCATATAGCAGTATAGTTGCAGATCACATGAACACCCCTATCTAGAGCCAGCCACTTTAAAAGTTGGAGGGAGCTGGTAAATATGTCATTAAAGTAATAAAGTAGTTCTGCTCAGTCAATTCATTCTCTATAAAATGTCAGAAAATACTGAATGCCTGTTACAAGTGTACATCTTCAAGTGTCTCCAAAGATATTCAATTTAAAATTATGTAAAACAGAGAAAAGCAGCAAATCCTCACATTTAAGAAGCTGGAACGTATTTGACATTATTGCTTCAGCTTAAATGACAGCAACACACACACACACACACACCCCCACACACACACATACACAGACATATAGAGTGGTCCACACTCACCTCCTCCAAGCAGCAGAATAGTGTGATCAACTCCTGGTACTGCAGCTCCCATACTCTTTATTCTTTTCTGCTGCCTGAGAGTCTGAATCATATATAAAACATACCATCATGTAAACTCATCAATAGGAAGAATTATTAACAATTATTTACAAATACAAAGGGTCAAAACTATAAAAGATATGCTGTTAGTCACCCACAATAAATCCCAAATACAGTATCCCTATTATGTTCTCTATATTATTAATTAGAGAATCAAAGAGGAATTAGGTTTATTTAGATTTAAGCTGTGTTCTTTATTTTTGTACCATTAGTGTTTTTTTTACGGTTCTAATAATTCTCCAATTAAACTATTGATTGATTAATTTTTGGAGGATAAATACTGGTCTTAAATGTCCCTTCACAGCCTCCATTCCTCTTATGCTGCCTGATTAGATTAGGCAGACTGAGAGCTCCCTGGCTCTCCTGTTACAGTCTTACATCTTCATCACTGTTACAGTTGTCCTCCACCGAACACATTAGGAAAGTGTTAACAATAAAATTAATGATGGCTGCTTCATGCTGACTTACTGTCACAGCTTATTGAGCCATTGTTGATGTTATTAGTAAAAAGCTTTTCCTTCCAAGTCAAATTGTCTCTTGTGCAAAAACTCCAGACTGTGTCAGAAATCCCTCTGTATTTGCGATATAGTGCACTTTATTTTCCCTCTGGCATTTTATTTGAGTGTCTTTCGTGATAAATGTAACACTCATAGTGCCTTTAAACATTCTCACGATGGAACAAAATAAGTAATCTTCATGGTATTCGCACCGCTTTCCACTTACAATCACATTTTATAGATTTTATAGACTCTAAACCCATCAGTCATGATTACCACAAAGTGAGTGATGGAGTGATTAAAACCAGAGCTTTACACTATAAAGGTCTATGATTTATTATAAGCACATTCATAAGACTTTATATGTTTCTATTCATGCTTCACAACTTATAACCATGTTTATAAATAGGTAGACATTATGTACTATACGTTTAGCATTCATAATGCTTTATACATCCATGCCAAAGCTTGGTATACATATAAGCTTATAACCTTATACAAAGCTGTCATGTTACTTAAAGCTCACAAAGTCATGCTATCATTAATGTTCATGATAAAGTATTTTATTTTAGAAACGTATAATTGTAGATAATTTCTTTAGTTTGGGGGTTTAATAGCAGGTGATTAGTCTGAAACATCAAAACTACTGAATACAAACACAAAAGACATAAATAAAATAAAAATATATTATCCCTCACAAACCCATAAGGCCTTATTTCCACAGTGAACAGGATAAAGTTACAATTATGTGACAAGACAGGAAAAAGAAAAGTTAACCTACTAACCTTTTTGTTTATAGACACATACACTTTGCTGTTTTGAATTTTGACCTTCAAAAGAGAAAAAAGACAAGTTAAAATGACAACATGGAGCCATAAGACAAATATCTCTGTCTGTCTGTCTGTCTGTAAGGTTTGTACCTTGTGGCAGGGTAAACCGTCCATGCCGGGGTATTCCTCCAGATCTCCTGTATGGATGTTGAAACAGGCCCCGTGCCACGGACAGCGTACTGTGTTGCCTGAAATAACCCCTGAATATACACACACACACACACACACACACATTGAAATGTTATATTTTCCATAATTTCCATATATTTCATACTATGCACTATGCACTACAGATTCACATTAAAGCTGTTTTATCAAAATCATCAACATATGAAAGCATCCCATCCTCCAAACTGAGTCTTACTCAGACGTTTAATGAAGCTGTGTCACGTCGTGCCTCTTTACCTTTGCTGAGCGGGGCGCCATAGTGCGTACACTGGTTACCCATGGCACTGTATTTGCCCTCGCTGCGTGCCAACAGCACGGTGTGGCGTCCCACTTCAACCTCCATCATCCTAAGGTAACACACACACAGACGGATACTGCAATCAACTTCACACCCAAAGGAGTCCATGGAGTTTTATAGTATTATTATTTATATTATTATAAGGTGTGATTGGAAATAGAGATTTTGTTCCTTCTTTATTTTGTAAACTTTTAGGTTTGTACTCTGTGTAAACTGTGTTGAAAGTTTGTATATATTAAGGCCTGTGATTGTTAACAGCATGTCTCCAGGGACGTCAATGTCTGTTTCAAAAATATGTTTTTCTTCTTGTTCCTACAGTCGGACGTTTGAGCTTTACTGTGCAGATTAATGTATGTGCAGAGTTTGACA